CTAATGAGAGGTACCAGGTTTTAGTGACAGACATCTGTCCTAGTGACAGAGACCTACCTGGTCCTAGAGACAGACATCAGGTTCCAGTGACAGACACCTGGGCCTAGCGACAGAAACTGGGTCCCAATTACAGACACCTGGGCTGAGTGAGAGACCCCCGGTCCTCGTGCAAACATACACATGGGCCTAGTGACAGACACCCAGCCTAGTGATAGACACCGGGTCTTAGTGCAGACACATCATCCTACTGTCAGACACCTGGGCCTAGTGAGAGAGCTTGCCCTAGTGACAGTCACCTTGTTCTAGAGACAAAGACCTGGCCCCAGTGACAGACACGTTGTCCTAGTGACAGCCCTGTCTCTGCCTGCATGCACTTCTCCGACACCGGGTTTCCCGCCCTCCGGCTGGATTGTGCCCTGGGCTCATGTGTCCACTGTGGCTCTGGCCTGCGGCCTGTTCGGTGTCCCAGCAGGTTGTGCTTCAGGCGGTCGAGTTACAGGATGGTTTCCAGGGAGAGGCATTCTGGGTAGTGGTTGCAGTGGACTACCATGGGGCCTCCTCGGAGCGGGGACAGCCGGGGAGGGGCAGAAGCCCAGCTGTCTGAGATGCCACCACCTGGTGGGAGAGGGTCTCCAAAGCGGTCGAAGCACAGGGCCCGGGTGTTCGGTGCTACAGCCTGGGGTTGCAGGGCGCTTTGTTTCATGGCTGCCCTCCCGAGGCCTCCTCAGCTCTGGGCTGTAATTCCACCCTCTGCCCTGGTCCTGCCCTCTCCGAGCTGCCTTTGGAAATGCAAATTCAGTAACACAGTCTGTCCCCACACCTGGAGGAGCCGGCTGTCCTCCTGGCCCTCAGAGGAGGCTGGGGACCTGCTTGGGCCCATAGCTGTGCGAGCCTTGCCTGCACCTTTCAGGGCTCAGTGGGGTTTAGGGATGGGCATCTGTTGAGGGCAGGTGGGGTCAGGGCAGGCCATGGACAGGGCAGGGTGCATCTCTCCTGCAGGACTCACAGAGGCACAGGCCAATAAAGGGGGTGCGGTGCACACCTGAGAGTGCAGGACACACCTGGGAGGCAGGGTACACACCTGAGATTGAAGCTGCCCACACCTGGGAGTGCAGGAGCACACCTAGGAGGGCAGAGAACACACCTAGGGGTAGAGGGCATACACCTGGGGCTGCAGGATACACACCTGGGAGTGCAAGTGCACACATCTGGGGAGTAGAGAGTACACACCTGAGAGCGCAGGACACATACCTGGGAGTGCAGGTGCATACTTGAAGGTAAAGGGTCCACATCTGGGAGTGGAGGGCACACACCTGAAGATACACTTGGGAGTCCAAGACAGATACCTAGGTGCAGGAGCACAACTAGGAACACAACAGATGCACACCTGGGAATGGCAGACACACCCTGGGAGGGCAGAACGCACACCTGGGCTGCGCACTTGGGAACGGTGGGAGCACACCTGGAAATGGCGAGCACACACCTCAACTTGGTGCACCCATTCCAGGGGTCGGCCCTCTGTTGCTGGGTCTTTAGTTCTGGAGCCTCCTCTCCTGGGAGCTTCTTTCCCTGATCGAGACAGGACTGCCAGGCCAGACTCATGTCCCCCAGGAGCTTGGGGACAGGAATCAAAGGAGCCTTGGCCTGTGCCCGAGAACGGAGTGGGGCAGGGAGGGCACAGCAGCCTGGCATTGGGGCATGGAGCAGGGAGCAAGAGGTGCCAGCCATCACCATGGGGCATCTCCATGCCCCTTAGATTAAGCGTAGGATTCAGCACAGACTGAGTGAAGTGACCCAGGCCATAGGAGGAGAGGACAGGTGCTGACCTGGTCCAGTGGACCCACATGCCTCTCCCTCTGTTCTCGTGCTGTCTATGCGGCTCCACGCACTGCATCCTACAGAACTAACATCCTGGACATCTTTCCACGGCAGCGGCCGGGCCTAGCTCACTCTGGTATTTTTATCTAAAGCCCTTTTTTGAGATACACTCTTAAAAGCTAATTCACATTCAAGGTAAAATGAGAAAAGAACCTGGGAGGGCACGTAGGCGGGCTACGGGCCTGGTGCATGGGGGCTGCGTCTCCTGAGTGGCACCCAGATGGCCCACCCCACCAGCTGCCACTCCAGGGGCCTTGGCGTGTGCAGCCCGAGACTCCTGGGCCTGCCGGGAACCCATATCTCGCGTGAGCCTTCCACGCACAAGTCGGGCAGAGCCGGCTCCCGGATGTGTCTCTGGCCGCAGATGTCTGCCGGTTCTGCTCCTCACATTCCGTTTCCTGGGCGCGTCCCGGGCTTTCCTGTGCCCCACAACGCCCCGTGTTGATGCCTGTCCTTCCCAGACCCCTGTCCTCCCAGGCCCCTCAGCTCCAGGCCCTTCACTTGCCCCAGGTGGCGGCCACAGGTTCTCCTGTCCCCCTTGTTGGCCTCTGCGGGGAGGGGCTGTGTTTCTGCTCCGCTGTCTGCAGGCTTTCTTGTTCCCTGCCAGCCGTGGGCCTGCAGACAGCAGACAAACTCTCCTCAGAGTTTGAAGCCCAGCTCTGCTGTCCACCTGATGCTGCCGGGTCCAGGTGCCTTCTATTCTTACCTGCACAGCCCTCCACGGCAGTTCCCTGTGCACAGCCCACGTGGTGGGTGGAGGTACACCAGGTGGGACCTGCCATGGGCACATGTGGTGCCTTCCTTGGGCGGGGCTGCGGTGGGTGAGCGCCGCCAGGGATGCTCTCACGCTTGGCACCCCCTCTGCCCCGGTCTGTTCACATGCTGCCTCCTCTCCTGGTCCAAGGTGGCCCCCTGGCCCTGTTACCTGCCTCAGTTTCTCCTGTTGCACCTTGTCCTGCCTGAGAGTGTATCATTTGTTGACTTATTTCCTGAGTACCGACTGGAAAGCCCACTCTCAAGGGTGAAATGTTTCTCTCCACCGCCGCCACCACTCCCTCCCTGGATGGGCACTCTACCAGGAGGCTGACCCGTGAGGAGGCACGTGCTGGTGGGCTCAGGCATCGTGTGTGCTGAAGGTGCGCCCGTGGCATCTCTGCGGCCCCTTTTGGGCTTCCCTTGTCGCTCCCCTAATAGTGGGTCTGTTCCCTGTGCATCTCCAGAGCGGTCCACAGGGTCAGGTGCCTGTGGCCTCTGTGGGGACTCGGCCATGCCAGGAGTTGCCCGGGACTGAGTGGGGTTTCAAGGAGGGCTTTTCTCTTTGACGGAGTTGGATGCACCCAAAAGCAGATCTTCCTGTTCCCACTACCCGCTTTTGCTTCTAGAAATTTCTTTGCTGCTTCTCCTTGTTTGGTGTCCGAGTGCTGAAGGGAGGCCCGTGATAAGCTCATGACCCGGCCTGCGAGAAGCTCCTATTTCAGACAAAGAAATGGTGTCAGCGATAAACTGGAAACAGTTCCCGGCTCAACACCCGGCCTGGCCTTTCTACCTGTGCCACGCTGTCCCCACACGACCCTGTCCCCGTGATCCTGCCCCGTGTGATCCTGTCTTGGTGATCCTGTCCCTGTGTGATCCTGTCCCCATGATCCTGACCCCATGTGAGCTTGTCCCTGCACAGTCCCATCCCCATGCCCTCCACCGGGTTGGCATCTGTACAGCCAGTGCCCTGTGGGATGCCGGGAGGCCTTGGTCTCCATGTTGAGGCCAGATGCCACTGATGCTTCAGACACAGCCTCCTGCTCTTTGATCCTGAGCCCGGCCACCACGGCTGCCCTCTATGTGGGATGTCCTGGGGCCTTGGGAGCAGCCTCCCCATGGGATCACCACACTTTTCTCGGCAGCAGTGGTGCTTTCTGTGACTTCTGGGAGATGGGGAACGGCAGGGGCGCCATCGTCTGATGGCTTCAGCCCAGTGTGCTCCACGGAATTCTCTGGCTGTTGTGGGGATTTACGGGGTCTGGAATTCCACTGGGGTCACACCCAAGACCCCGTGATGGCAAGTCCCAATGGCAGGACCACATTGGCGGGGCCCCACTGCAGGGCCCTGATGCAGGACCATGCTTTGGCCTCGACTTGTTCAGAGACTACAGATTTGAGGGCCTAGTGAATTTCAGCGTCATGACAAGAGCCTGGGTCTCTGGGTTGAGGGTCTCCTCCTCAGTCACACCTCTATCCAGCTCTTGGCGCCCGGCTCTCAGTGTCACACTGATGGTCGCTCCTGGAGAAGTAGTTGCAACCACTAGTCAAGGCCACACTCTGGGTCACCTCTGAGCGGCCTAGCCGGGGTCTTGGCAGAGCTGACCCTGGCCACTCCACCTGCCTATTCCACTGGTGCCATGAGGCCTGTGCCCCAGAGCCTGCCTAGGCAGCCACCCCCTCAACCCCGTGGCCTGCACTCCTGCCAGGGTTGGCACCTCGAAGAGTCCAGAGCGTGGCTGTTCTCCCACCTGAGGTCCCAGCCATGGCCTGCATATGTGGCCTCTCCCCCAGGCCCGGACCCCAGCATACCCTCGGCTCTGGGGCGGCTCCTCCTGGAATGTCCTGGAGTCCCTGTTCCCTCCCCAGCACAGCTGCGACCTGGGATGAGAGGCTCTGCTCGGGGTGGGGTCCCTGTGCTCCCCACATGCAGCTTAGTCCTGGGGTCAGAGCCTGTCCAGGGGTGGGGGTAGCGCTGCCTGGCTGCCCTGGACCATCCCAAGGAGGGCCTCCTCTCTGGGGCCTTAGAAAGGCAGCATCCCAGGGTGGTTTCAGAGCTGTGGGTGTCCCCAGGGAGGGGCAGTGGAACTGGCGGTGGAGCCCAGGGGACAGGGTGTGTGCTGCCAGGTCAGACCCTTGGGCCTCCTTGGCCGGGGCTCCACCCTAGGCACTCCTCTGCTGATGGCACCAACTGGCGAGGGAGGGGTCTTTGACCCCAACTCGGCAGCCTCTTGTGGCTCTGCTGTGTCCAGGGTAGTTGGTGAGGGGCCCCCGACATCCCACCCGTATGGGCGCTGCCACACCTCGGGCTGCCACGGTGCCACAAGGGGCCGGCTGCGTGATGTCTTTCTTCTCTCCCTCCTCCAGCGCCATGGCCGACAGCAGGGCCAAACCTGCCAAAGCCTCCAACAGGACACCCCCCAAGTCCCCGGGGGACCCCGCCCGAGACCGGGCGGCCAAGCGACTGTCACTGGAGTCGGAAGGTGCCAGCGAGGGTGCGGCCGCGACCCCGGAGCTCAGCGCCCTGGAGGAGGCCTTCCGGCGCTTTGCCGTGCACGGGGACACACGGGCCACTGGGAAGGAGATGCACGGCAAGAACTGGTCCAAGCTGTGCAAGGACTGCCAGGTGATCGACGGCCGAAACGTGACAGTCACCGATGTGGATATCGTCTTCAGCAAGATCAAGTGAGTGCGGGCACCAGGCGGGCATGGCAGGCCGGGACCCTGGGGGTCTGCGGCTCAGAGTCTGTGGGGCCGAGTCGCGTGGCTGTGCCCCAAGACCCCTGCCCTTCTCGGAAACACCAGGATCGGGCGTGGAACCCAGTGTGTCGGGGCTCCTGGATGTCCTGAGCCGCAGCCCCCGTCCGGCTCCCCTGGCCTGGTCGCTCAGGGCCGCGCATCGGAAGTGGCTTGGGACGGGCTGCTGGCCTTGAGGGTGCTGGCCCCCATATCAGCGTCCCACTGCCGGGCATCGCTGGCCTCCCCATGCATGGGAAGGACCCCGCCAGAGTCTGGAGGGGCAGGTGGCCCAGGAGGGCAGCCCTGACCCGCGTGGCCTGGTGGGGCTTGGGTTGGCCGTTGGCAGCCCCGCCCGGGATTTCCACATGCAGAAGCAGCTCACTGGCAGGACCCAGGCATGAGGAGGAGCCAATGCCTGTGGCCCTGGTGCTCACTGCCTGTGCCCACGGCTCTGAGTGTATGTGCTGATGTGGCATGTATGTGCATGGCCATGCTCCTGTGTCACATGTATGCGTGTGTTCTCACTGCACACTGAGACATCCCCACACACCCGTTACATACTTGAGCGTCCCTGAGGCTTGAGGACGGTCTCCCGCCACTGCACCCTGTGGCCACAACTGAGAAAGCAGCCCGAGCCCATCCAGTGTGGCCGGAACCTGGTGTGTAAGTGGCTTTAAGGCAGCTCATCTCTGCCACATCCATGCGTGGCTGGTGTGACGAGTCCGGTCGTATGTCACCATGACTGTGTGTCGCTTTCATCTGAAGCCTCTCCCTCCCGCTCCGTGGCCTTGGCTCCTGGGGCTGGGCCTGGTAGGCACCCTGTCCCACCCGCACTGCTGTCCGTCTGCCGGTGGCGCCTACCCTGGCACACATGGTCTTCACAGCCATGCCTCCTGTCCCCCTGTGCCCTCCGGGGCCCGGCCCAGGCTAAGGGGCAGCTGTCACCCTGGTTGCCACGGAGCTGCGGCAGCCAGCTCTCCTCAGGAGACCCCTCCCTGGGGATGCTGCTGGTCTCCGGCCAGGCAGGGCCACAGGCAGCCCGCTGGCAGAGTGGAAGTGGCGCCCCACACGCTTCTCAGGGGCCCAGGTAATGACTGGTGGCGGGCGCTGGCGGCGCAGTCTTTCCCTTGCACCCCGCAGTGGGAGGTGGAGCCTGGCGGGCTGCAAATACTGGATGCCAGAGGTCCTGCTCCCGCTGGAGGCCAGGCTGAAGGGGGACTGGGGAGGCTGGGCGGGGCGTCGGCCCAGACAGGGCTCCCCCGACCTCACATGGCCAGGATCCCTACGGCCCGGTGGGCTTGTGTGCCTGCCCATCCTGGGGTGGACGTCGACCTCCCCCGGCCCGTGGGCTCCAGGCTCTCAGCAGAGGGCAGGGGGACCTCCAGCACCGCTTCCCTTGGTCCGCCTCGAGTCATTGCAGCACGTCTCACCCCGCCCGTTGGGACCTGGCCCACCCCGCCCACCTCCTCTGTGACTTCCCAGCCTCGGTTTCCTCACAGGGCTTGGCAGCACTTGCTGGGCGTGGGATCCCTGGACCTTGTGCTTGGCCCTTGGCGGACCCCGCCCCTCCCTGGCCCCAGCCAGCTGGGCTCCCAACACAGCGTTCCTGCTCAGATGCTGGGCGGGCGCTCGTGGCAGGGGCCATGCGGTGTGGCTCGAGGCCCAGCCCAGGCAGCCACAGGCAGGCCTGGGTGACTAAGGGATAATGGCGATCAGCCAGCCATGGGCAGGGGCACTGACCTGGGCTCTGTCCAGATGACTGGGGCCCAGAGACCATCCTTGTCCTGGGCCCAGTGCTCTCCCTGCCGAGGGGACACGTTCCAGGCACGGCAACCCCGAGGGGGAATGGGGGCAGCTCTATTTATCACATGTGGCCGTAGGTGGTGCAGACACGCCCACAAGTTCAGAGGTGGGGGAGGGGGTGTGGCATGGTGGGCTCCTTCCCCCATGTCCTCCTGCGTCCTTGCAGGGGTGGCCCAGCCCCTCTGCCCACCCTAACCTGCTCATCCAAGCCCTGGGCGACTCCTTGGCCAGCCATGGTGGGCGGGCGTTCCTACAGCGAGGCCCACGTGGCCACTCTGTCTCGCTCTCTGGGCCCCCTCCATGCCTCCCATGCATCCAGGACACACAGGGGCAGACCCAGGCAGAGGGCCCTGAGCCCTGTGCCCTCCATGAAGCTTCTAGAAGGGTTGGGTGGAGGCGGACAGTGGTCTGTCCGGGACTCTCCGCCTCCAGGGCATGCCCTGCGCTCCAGCCTTAGTGCTAGTCCAGACGTGCCATGTGCAGTGTTGCATGGCATTACACCAAGCACGCACAGGCACGCACATGCCGGCACATGCCGGCACATGCATGTCGAGCTTGCCCTGCTGGCAGCTGGGGTTCCTTTGTAGGGTGGCACCCATGCCCAGTCCAGGGACATGTGGGGGGACTGGCACCACCAGGGAACCCCCTCTGTCCTGACCCTGCTCCCAGAGGTGGACCTGGAGCTGCTCAGACCCTGGGGCTGAGGCCCAACCTGGCTCAGGCACGGGGTTGCAGCCCACCGCGGCGGGTGTGGCCTCGGCTGGCTGTGGGTTCCAGGTTGGGGGAGTGGGCAGCTGCAGCCCAAGCCCAGAGAGGGGCCAAGGCAAGATGCAGCTCCACTTGGCCTGGGGGCTTGCCGGGCCCGTGGTGGGTGCTGTGGGAGGGCGGGTGTCCTGCCGGGCAGCAGCTGTGTGGTGGGGCCCAGAGCCTGGCCAGAGGGAAGGCCACGGGATTCTGGCCTCCTGTCCTCAGGCAGGGGGGACCCTCATGGCCCTGGGCCTCACCGAGGGCTGCCGCTCCTCCACCCGGACTGCCCTGCCTTCCTGGAGTCTGGACACCCCTTGCGTGCCCTGTGACCTGTGTCCCAACCAGGAGGTTCCTGTCCTGGGGGAGGGTCTTCTGACCTCCACGATGTGCAGGAGCAAGGAACTCACACTCATGTCCTTGTCCCAGGGAGGGATGGTGACCCCAGCAGGGGGTGATGGTGACCCCAGGCAGGGCCTGGGGTCATGCAGGAAAACTGGAGCGGGGGGACGGGGACCTGAGGATTTCCCTTAGACTTCCAGGAGCTGCAGGCCTGGGAAGGCACCGGGTGCTGGACTCAGCCTGTAGGGAAGGGCCGCCACGTCCCCGGACTGAAGGTGCTGCTGGCCCCCGGCAGGGCTTGTTGAAGAAAAGCATGACTATTTCTGTTTGGGGGCAGGTTGCCACGGCTGCGCAGGCATGGCGCCAGCTGGGGTATCTGTGGCCTCTGTTTGGTGCCTGTTGTCATGGCAGTGCTTGTTTGTTTTGATGTTACTATGTGTTAAATCTTAAACAAATTTCTGGCCGCGATATGCCAGGGCTGGGCTGGGGCTGCTGTTAACCAGACAGAGGCCACAGGTTAAAATGTTCGCTGGAGATGGTGGTGCAGAGGGCCAGGGCGGGAGGGGATGCCTGGGCCCTGGGGCTGTGGGCAGCACATATGTGTACCTGTGTGTAGATGGGGCCATGGACAGCATACGTGGGCCTGTGTGGGGACAGGGCTGTGGACAGCATGTGTGCACCTGTGTGGGAATGAAGCAGTGGACAGTGTGTGCACCTCTGTGGGAACGGGATCTGTGGGCGCCACAGGGACCCTGGTCAGGCTGTAACTGCCTGTCCCTCCGGACTAGACACTGGCTCCAAGCGAGGGTCCTCAGACCTCACTCCCTGGGCCTCTGGGGGTCCGTCCTGCCCAGGTGGGGAGGCCCAGTTGATGGGGCAGAGGAAGGAGGGCCGGGGTCAGGGTTCCCGCAGGTGTCGAGCGCTCTTGAGCCAACCACTGATGTTTCTTGAAACCCTCTGCAGGCAGCAGGCTGGCTGGGCTTGCAGCACCAGGAGCCAGGGGCCAAACTGCCAGCTGGACTAGGGCCTGCAGTGCCCAGGAGAGCAGGGCCCCAGGGCCCAGGACTGGCTGGGGCCACCTGGTTCTCAGCTGGCAGGACTCGACAGGAGCATCCTGGGTCTGCCCAGTTCCTGACCTGGAAGACGCTCCAGGGCCGTGGCCACCCCATCTGCCTTCCGGGAGCAGGTTGGGGCCGGAGAGAACCCGGGACAGAGTGCTTGGGGACGGCCTCGGAGAACAGGTGGGGTCCGCAGAGCTCCCTCCGTGGTGAAGAGCGGTGACTTCTTCCCCGAGCTCCCACCTGAAGGTCAAGGGTCACAGTGGCCTTACTCCCCAACCGTGGTCCCCCAGGCCCTGCTTCCTAAGCCCGGGGAAGGGTTGGGCACACCCTGCACTGACCTCCCTACCCCCCCACCAGCCCTGCCCCTCGTGCCTGCAGGGCTGTGAGGACAGAGTGGGTGGGCCCAAGGGACACCAAGTGCCATGGCCAGGGGGCCGAACCCCGCGGGGGGCCTCTAGTGGCCGTCGCCGGCAGTGCAGGGCAACCACAGCTTCTGGGAGTGGAGAGCTGGGTTCTGGTGGGTGCGTCTGTGGCCGAGGGTCAGTGGCCTGGCGGCCTCGAGTCCTGGAAGCCAAGGCCTGCCGGGCCCACGAGTGTGCAGCAGGGCCAGGGTCAGCAGTTCCCTGTCACGTGGGTTCGACCTCAGCACGTGGGCTGCCCGTGAGCCTGGCCAGACAGAGTGATTGCAGGTGTGTCTGCCCCTGTGTGGGGTGGACGGAGGTGGATCAGCCCTGGCAGCCACTGGAGAAGGTCGACCCCCATCTGCCCAGGGTCCCTCTGGGCCCCAAGCCCAAGTCCTACCAAGGGCCACGTCCTCCCTGTGATGGCCACAGGGAGGCGGTGACCACACGCCCCTTACTCTGCACCCGGCAAACAGGAAAAGGCACAAGGAACGCCACATTAGGAGGAACTCAAAGGATGGGCGTTCTTCCCACTTGGGTGACACCTGAGTGCTGGGGACCACGGATGTTCCCTCAAGCAGGCTGGGCCAGCAGCGGCCAGGTCTCTGACACGTGAGTGCCGTGCGGGCTTCGTGGTGGGTGAGCCTGGGTCATGGGCTCGGCTCCTGGCTGCCCTGGGCCCATGTCCACCCACCCACTGAGCTCACAGGGCCTTAGGAAGGGGCTCGGGTCTCCTGAGATGAGGGGCCCTCCCAGCTGGTGGGATGTCCCCCTGCCGGCCGAGGCTTCCCAGCTTGGGTGAGTGGCGCTGCCTGTGAGGACAGACACCTGGGGGACCTGCAGGGAGCAGGCAGCCGACCAGACCCCAGCATCCTAGGGGCTTGGGGACCCCAGGAAGGAGTGAGTGGCCAGTGTCTGTGAGGAGTGGCCAGGACGGCTGAGCTGTCCTTGAGCACAGTGGGACAGGTCACCAGGTGGCCAGAGGCTCTGCGAAGCCTGGCTACTCTATGGCCTGGTGGAGACACGCAGTAGCCAGTGGGATCCCCTGCCATGCTCGCCAGACGGGGCTCCCTGAGGCACATCCCTACCAGGCAGGGGTTCTCTGTAGCCCCCCCACCAGAAACCCAGCCGGGGGTCCCTCCTGGCCCATCAGGTCTCAGCCCAGGGGTTGATGGGAGGATCCCCAGGTTGGTGCGGGCAAGCCACAGTCTCTCGCTGTCTGACTCAACAGCAGGGTGGGGGGCTGTTGACCCTTGGATCTCCCACTACCCCAGCTCTTTCGATCCCCTGAGCCAGTGTCCAGCCCAGGCCCTCCTTGGTACAGAGAGGTGCTGGGCAGAGGGCGGGCCTCCCATGAGCCCAGAACTAGGCCGCAGGGTGTGGGCCCTGGAGGTACAGGCCCCTGTTCTGGGAGGCTGTGCTGGCCCCAGCCCCGCTCTGATCACCCCAGTGTCCCTGGGAGCTGAGTGGGGCTGCAGCGCCAGGAAGTAGGCCTGGGCTCCAGGCGCTGTGTGTGGGCAGTGGCATGCCCTGCGGGCTCGGGGAAGGACCACGGTCATCTGAATGGGGCGCTGGGGGCCGAGTGGTTGGGAGAGCTCCTGGGACCAGGTGTCAGTGAAGCACCAGCACGGTCATCAGGAACTCGCCCTCTCCCCGGATCACCGTGCAACCCTTGGGGACACGGCAGGCGCCGGCGTCTTCTCCTCTGAATGTGGCCTCTGATAGGGGAACCCCCTCAGCCATGACCCCCCCCGGGCCAAGTGACTCACGCTGGTGGTGCCTGGCGCCGCCGCCACCCAGAGAGGGTTGCGTGCTCCTGCACTGGTCACGGCTGGCCTGGCGTCTGCGTGTCAGCCCGGGCCGGGCTGTGAATAGGAGACAGGCGGGCCTTTGACAGCCCAGAACAGAGTCCACTCAGGGAGCAAAGGGTGGCCGGACGCTGTCCACTCCAGGCACTGCTGGAATGTAGGGCTCAGCCGCCCATGCTGACTGAGCGCACCCAGTGTCACAGGGCACAGTGGGGATGTCAAGCTGCGAGCATCAAGGGAGTGACACCCCAGTATGCATCCCCGAGTCTCCAGTCCCTTCTGGAGACGCTATGGAGTAACTGTGCCCTAGGATAGATGGTTGAGGATGTGCTACAATGGCTGTCCTGGGCCGTCCAGGCCAACTCGGGTGCTGGCTCCTGCCTCCCCTGCAGGCCTGGCCTGAGGCCCCCGCTCCTCCCCCTGGGGCCGGGAGGTGGGAGGTCTTTGCAGAGAACCGTCTCCTCCAGCTCAGCTGTCTTCTGCCGGCAGGGTGTGGGTCCCCTGGACTCGTGCGCGGTGTGTGGGGACCCTCCAGCTGCAGCCTCGGCATCCAGGGACCGTGTGTCTGGCTCCGCCGTGCCGTGGTGTGTGTCCATCCTTGTGTGGCTGCAGTGTGTGGTTTCCGGAAGTGGGTGGCTGAGCCGGGCAGTAGCAAAGGTTCCCTCAGGGTGCCGGTGAGCCTGGACTACCATTCCCTGGTGGAGGGACCCACGCGTGGGAGTGTGGGGCCCTGCCAGCTGTGCGTGAGTGCTCCCGCCCGAACCCCAGCTGGCAGTGCTGCCCTCCGTGGCATTCACGCACGTAGACGTTCCCAGAGCGGTTTCACTGTCCGGCCCTCGTGTGCCTGTCTGCCACTCGTGACCTTCATGTGAGGTCTGAGGCCAGTGGTCTTCCTTCCTGTTGCATCTCAGGAGCTCTCTCTTCCAGCGACAACGTCCTGGCTCGGGTGTGCTGGCAATGCCTCCTCCCATCTGCTTGTTCTGCGTTCTCTCCACCGTGTCTTTTGAAGAGCATGGTTTTCATGTTTTTGGGGATGCCCACTCATTCCTTCTTTCACAGTGGACCATGTTTTGGGGTCATTTGAGAGAGCTTTGCCTACCCAAGGTCACAAAGACTGCCTTGGTGTCCCACACGTGTGTCCCAGGTTTCGTCATGGGGACTGGGGTCCGCTTGAGCCACTTTGCATGTGGAGTGCAAGGCACAATCATTCCTGGAGCAGGTGGGCTCAGTCCTTGCTTTTCAAGTTGCTTTGTCCCTTCCGGATCCCCTGCTCACGCTTTTCCCAGAAATTCTTGCTGGGTTCAGGGGTCAGTTATCGCCTGAGTCTTGGGTGCTGTGGACCCTGTGCTGGAAGGGCCCTTATGTGCTGGGCCCGCGAGGGTTGCTATCCTCCCGGGGGGCCTGCAGTGGTGCTGGTGGGACTTATCACGTGATCTCATTTCCACATCGAGATGAATTGAGATAGACTGATCAAAATAGAAAGCTGTTTTTAAATTAAAATGACATGCACAGTGCCTGAGTCAGGGCAGGGGTACAGGGTCCCAGGATCGCAACCCCCTCTTGGTCTTGTCCCTCTGTGACCGTGACCCTATGCCTCCCCATGACCCTGACATGCCCCTGGGCCCCACCCTGAGCTGACTGGGTGGGCTTTGGTTGCCTTGGGAGGGCGAGGGGGCCCTCTCCCTCATGTCCCCGAGGGGTGCCGATGGCTGGGCTGTGAGGACCCCAGCTGTTCACGAGGCGTGCTTCCTCCAGGCTTCCGCAAGGCAGCTTGCCGTGATGCTGATGTCCCGCGATGTCACTGCGGGTGACGCCAGGTGGCTCGGCGTGTGTCTTGCACCTTGCTCAGAACCTGAACGCTTGTCCCCACAGAGGGAAGTCCTGTCGGACCATCACCTTTGAGCAGTTCAAGGAGGCACTGGAGGAGCTCGCCAAGAAGCGGTTCAAGGACAAGAGTGACGAGGAGGCCATCCGCGAGGTGCACCGGCTCATCGAGGGCAAGGCCCCGATCATCTCAGGGGTGACGGTGAGTGGGGGCAGGGGCGGGGGTGAGGGCCATGGCCT